CCCCCCCCCTAAACAAACACACCCCTCCTTGCCTACATTTTGTCGTTTTTGCTTCACTCGTTATTGCACACACTGAAGATCTAAGGCACGTATGATACCATTCATTGTATGATAATCTACTGTATGCTAGCCTTCACATTTTACAGACTAAATTCCTCAGACCTTACAACACTACCGGTCTCCTCGAAAATCTCCCCATTTAGGGACATATCTCCTGATTTCCCGATTCACAATAAAAATCCCCTGATTTATCAGACTTGAACGCGTGGCGATAAAATGTTTCGCTAGATCTTGTTAACACTCAGCGAAATGCGCCTAGTGATTATATTAAATGTGCCATCACTTAATTGCTTTCTCGGTTTCATTAATTGGCGATAATAATTGCAGTAAGCAAGAAGGAGGAAATGCTGAAGACAAAACAACGCCGGGGGGTATGTGTGACTTTCACCCCATTTCCATAGATTTTTAGATCGATCTATCCCTGTGGAGAGTCTCACTAGATTACTGTCAGCTTGGCCGGCTTAATCGTCTGTCCCGCATACTAAAAGCTTTAAGGGGGTAATTAACTATGGTGCGCGCTCGTCTGACTGCAATTTAGCGTGAACCCCCAGGGAGTTAGGTCGATCTAAATTTTAATCCCTGGATCGGAAATACACCCTTACTCCCTTAACTTTTTCTATGATGCTGTCAAAGAAAAAGGAACAGATATAGCGATCATTTAAACCGCTGCTGCTTTACAGGTGGACTTACTTGTTTATCATTTAGATGCCCCCCCTCCCCCAGCAGACCCAACTTGAGGAATGCCATAGTAGCTACAGTACACTGTATATCAAACCTCAGTCCAAGTTATGAAAGGTTTAAGCACAAAACGATAATTTGAGGGTATTTTTTCATTCAAGACAAAATTCCATAACTATGATGTGAGACAATAGAGACTTTACAAAGCTTTACGTGTACTTAGATATATTCCAGTAACCTATGGAGATGGGTTAGCGACGTAATTGTAACCTCAACAGACAGTGTCCCCGATGAAAGCTCCACAATAAACACTGAAAAGCGGATTACATATCGATTACAACATGCTGTACAATGACCCGTGAAAAGTGTGTGTGAAAGGAATATTGGACTTCTTTGCCCTAAAAACAAATTCATTTCGAAATCAAAAGAGCATTTTTTGGGGGGCGCGTGGGGGGGGGGGGGCTAGGTAAACGTCAGGTGATTCGTTAAAGCCGAGGAGTGTCTCACTATCAAATATGTAAATCATATGTCATAAACACTACAATCAAGTTTTTTTTGTTACGATCTGCAACATATGTTTATTTATGTAGCAGGGCGAAGTTAGCGCCAGAGGTACCGGGATAAATAGTAACTCATTCCGTAATCCTTCTTGCCCATTTATTTAATCGTATCAAAACGTTTGATACACAATGTTCACTAGTGTCATAATTTTGGCGATTTATGAAAACCCTAATTGCACCTAAAAGTAGTTAGCATAAGTTAGGCAACAACCAGTTTGAAGAAAAACTCCCTTTTTAAATGAGGCAAGACAACCTATTCAAACTGATTATAACCTTGATAAAGACACAAGGCAAAGGAGTTATGTAAACTCGCGTGTGAAAACACATTCTTTGTCACTTTTACAAGGCAATGGAGGCGACCAAGTGGAGTAATTACAATATACCCCTGTACAGTCAAAGAGAAATTAGTTTTGAAAGCTTACTTAGGGTCAGCCCCTTGCTTGTTCGAAGGAAAAAAATAGATGTCGCGACGCTAATCCTTTTATTAACCCTTCATGAGTTTGTGTAAAAGTGTGAAAGACAGGCAACGATCTTGAGTCGCTGTTGATTTTGTTTGCAATTAATATTGGAGTATACCGCCTACATGTAAACATCAGACAATTGAGATCGATAAAAGTGGAGGTTAATCTGGAAAATTAGATGCGATTTTTGTGAAATGACTTACTAAGTGATGTGCATGTACCTAACATGTTTAAATTCTTAATTTTTATTATTTGAAACATCTTTCATACACGGTCTCATATTTATATTTCTCTCAGGCCATACTCATTTTATTGTATTACATGGGACTCTAAAGCACAGGACATTGTGAAAGTTAATTGGCTACAGAGACTTGTTATCCTTCATGCAGTTTTATAGCTTGGATGAACTAGAAACAGGCTTTACTTAGCTTTACTTAATTTACGACAATTTAAACAAAATTAGTCTCAAGGCTTGCTTAGCCCTCAAGTGACCGAGTGGGATCATTTACGACCCCAGCCATATGATTTAATGTGCCATCTCTTTATTTTTTATTCAAATTGTATTTCCTTGCATGAGTTTATCAGTCTACTAATCCTACACACTTTCACAGTTTTTTTGGAGGGATCAACCAATTAGTGTGGCGTATACATCACAAACTCTTGTGGGGTCATTTATGACCCCAAAGAGAAGCATTGGTTTTTAAATATTAGTTTTTAAATATTATTCAAATGTTTTGACAGGAAATGCCACATGCATGTGCTTCATGGAGCCAGCCAGTGTGCCCAAAACATAGGCACAAATAAGTGGTTTGTGAAGTTTAAGCTTGAAATGTTACTAATAGTGCATCGCTGAATCTAGTTTCAGTAGCTTTGTTGGAGCTTGTTCTCATAACCGGGTCTCTCATTTTGACGGTTACAATTTTCGGGTATTTTGGAAATCTAAAGAATTCTGTCGATATTATATTATACATATATTATCAAATTGTGTGGATTATGTTTTATACACAGTTGTGGTAGTAACATACATGTTGGTTGATTGAATGTGGCCTGAGTAGTATGACTTCCTTACCAGCATTAGGGTATTCCCTACTCAGCAAGTCAGCTAATTATTCTCATTGAAGTTAGCAGGATGCTATCTTAACATAAGTCAAAATATTTTACTCAAAGTAATTTTGTAGTGTACTTTTTTCATTTAGTGTGGCAATTTCTGCAAGTTGAAACTGACAAGGACTGTCTAAATACCGGTGTAATGTTGTTCTTTAAATCTGTGCTTGGTTATTTCATGTAATATAAGCATTATTACCAAATACTTTTACAATAGATCATTATAAAATACTTGTCTTAAATC